GTCTTGTGCTCTATATATATATAATGCTGCTGCAGACAGCTGCAGAGGCAGAGGTTGTGTAGAACTGCAGAGGTGATGCGCGAAGTGCCGACGTAGCAAAGTCAGTACATCATATTAGACGTACGAGGAGTCGTACGTTTTGTCACTAACTAATTAAGGAAACGACAAGTAATTGGAAATCGTTGAAGAGGTGTTCAAAGTGAAGAGTCTGTACATTTCCAATCGACTTAAAGCTGAGAGCTCTTAGGAGTTACAGGCCTTGGAGCGGAACAGTGGACGCGCGCTACAAATCCAAGGTCGTCGTTGCCTAGTCGTATTTTTTAACTCAACAGTATGGGACGGAAAAAGAAGAAGCAGTCGAGACCCTGGTGCTGGTATCCTTTTATTTAGCGAAACAAAAGTCATGATAAAAAAACATTGAAAATATTACTCGCCTCTCACGCACAACGTTTGGGGTTAGCTCTCACCCTAGAGGTCGTTACATTGCCTTTTACGACGCTCGCTGTTCGATATTTTTCCTCTCTTCTAACTCCGTTTTGCTGTGGGTACAATCGTACAATACGTGTGTATGTATATAAGTATACTTTCTAGCGCGAAATTGACAAAGTATATGTTACGGTGTCGCCCACGCCGTTCTCTCATCACACAATCCTCACCTCGATATGCACACGAGACTCTAGACACACCGTTCCAGATTATAATACCTACTTGCCCTGATGAAAATCGATTTTTACATGATATATTCTTACTAGCTTAGAGATGCGATACAATGCGTTATCTTGGCCGTGTTTGCACTTCAGTAGCAAACTAGTTCGCTACCTGGGTGTATTTACTTCTGTTTGGCAGGTGTTTGGTTTAATTATTTTGTTATTAATGTAATTATAAAATGGGTGCGTTTTAAATGGTGTCCACTTACTATTCAAAGGTTCCACCTATCTGTAAATTTTATTATTGCAAAGACCATTCAAGTGTTATAATTTTCATTGGGTGTTGTTAGGTTGATGCTGGCTATACATTTCATGTCAGACACTGTTAATTAAATTATCTTGAGAATAAATCAAATCTGGAGTATCTAATAATGGTGGTTCCGCTGTCTTTTGATAATTGAAAAAAAATGTGTTTTCAATGCAATAGAGCTAACTATTTTCTCTTAACTGTATTGTAATAAAGGTATTGTAACAGGGAATTCGACGATGAAAAGATTTTAATACAGCACCAGAAAGCAAAGCATTTCAAATGCCACATCTGTCACAAAAAACTTTACACAGGCCCAGGCTTGAGTATACACTGTATGCAGGTGTGTAATATATTGATTTTATGATTATTACTTGAATGCTTTATAAAACTTGAACTCAATAAATATAAATACTCTTACATCAGGTTCACAAAGAGACAATAGACAAAGTTCCAAATTCACTTCCAAATCGAAGTAACATAGAAATAGAAATTTATGGTATGGAAGGAATTCCACCAGAAGATCTTAAAGAGCACGAAAGGCAGAGGAATGGAGGTAGACCTGGTTCTCCAAGCTCCGGTGAAGATGAACCAGCACCAAAGAAGAGCAAGCCAGAAGGGCTGTTAGGTTCTGCACCTGGAGCTTTGGGAGGCTCCAGTATGATGTCACATGGAATGCCAGGAATGTCTATGAATCAGTTCCCCCCATCAATGCACCATATGATGGGACACATGGGACATGTACCTCAATTCATGGGACAAGGGTAAATATTTAACTTAAATTTGTTAAAAATATTACCACTCGAATTTAATTATTACTGTCATACATATTTATTTTCATGTAATTGTATCTCACGTTTGAAAATAACAATAAAGTTCATCTGCTGTAAATAGATGTTAACTATCATATTTAATGTATTTTTAATGATTGCAGCATTGTGCCAGGAATGCACGGTATGCCACCAGGCATGCAACCTCCCGTCAGTGGAGCATCAGTGCCATCTAGACCATTATTTCCTAGTGCCACGGCTGGCTCTTCAGCTGCATCAACTGCGTCATCAACGCCTCTTGGTGCTGATTTTAAGCCTATAACATCAATGGCAGGCAGCTCGATAGGGCCAGTCAAACCCACATTCCCAGCCTACAGCAGCAGTGACAATGGGACCTCCACAACTTCTACCTCTAGCGATTCTAAAGTAAACATGATTGCAACTACAAGTGCAACTAGTAAAATTATCCATCCTCCAGAGGATCTCAGTTTGGTAAGCATTAATTTTTTAACCTTAAAAAATACGTTGTTTGGACAAATAGTTCTTAGAAAACAGTACTGGATTCGTACTCTTTAATTTTCGTAGTTTTTTTATTTCATCAGTACCGAATGATAATTATTGGCTCATGCTATTGGGTATAAGATAGTGATAATAATTATTATCATACCTTTTAAACGTTTTTTTAATTAACTTATCTTGTAGTAAACTTTTTCCAAATTACAATATGGATTCTTGAGTAAAAGACGTTTGCTAAAAACCTAATCCCTAACTAATACAACAATTAAAAGTAAAAAAAGTTAGGTACAAATAATAATGCAAACATTGTTGGTTTTCTTTTGGTTACATAGCATCTACCAAAGGATAATTTTGTAAGCTTATCTTGTCATTTGTGTTATCAAATAAATGTAGATCTAATTGAGTCATAGATGTGACTGTCTTAAATATGTATTTTTATAATTTTAATGTAGATTTTTACTTATATTTATGAATATATTTTGGGCAAGTTAACAATCTATTTTTATCAAAAAATTGACCTGCTATGTATTTATACTTTTAAAGATGAATTTTTAAGTATAAGATAGATTGTTAACTTGCCGCCAAAAACACATGTATTGTTAATTTTTTATTCTATAGCTTTATCATAAGTTGCGGCTGGTTTATAATTATTTACTCGCATGCAGAGGATTTCAGTGTACGTGCGTCTTTACATTCGTGGGTGATTGTGAGAAAAAAAAAAAAAAAAAAAAAAAAAAAAAAAAAAAAACTACAAAAACCTCTTTTTATTCTTGAAATATAGACATAATGTAGGGAATGCTTGGTTACAATTTGATGTTATGAATCTTAAAGTATTTAATTTTTTTATCAACAAAAAAAAATAAATCGTTTCCATGTTGATAGCAGAAAAAAAACTTTAAACTCAATTCTTACTCGACTTGCAGGAGGAAATCCGAGCGAGGCTGCCGAGGTATCATCGTAAGCAACCTGACGAGTCTCGCTCGAGTCACTCGGAGTCGAGCAACACGGCTCAGCAACAACAGCAACAACAACAACAGCAGCAGCAGCAGCAGCAGCAGCAACAACAACAACAACAACAACAACAACAACAACAACAACAACACCAACAGCAGCAGCAGCAAGCGGCGGCTGTAGCAGCAGCAGCAGTGGCAGCACATCAGCAGCAACAGCAGCAAGCCCATCAGCAAGCTCAGCAAGCAGCCGCATCAGCTGTCGCGGCCTTCCAAGACCAGCAGCAACGTCAGCAGGCGGCCTTAAACGCTCTGCAACAGCAGCAGCAGCAACAACAACGCTTCTCGAGGCCACCTCAAGTGATGGCGATGCCTCAAGTCTCGGCCTCTCCAATGCCCGTGAACTCGGTTACTCTCATGGCACCGCTTATGCGGCCGGGCATGACGCTCGCCGCGCCCGCGCTCATTCACGGAGGTAACATGATGCGACCGCCCCCCATGGGCCTGCCTCCAGGTAAGTCTCCACAATTATCCTGACGATCATCTCTACCTCTCTTGATCTAAGACTCTTGTCCATTTTACCCGAATTTTTTAAGTCTATTTCTCTTTAACGACGCCAGTTTTTTCGTTACATATGTATCTTTGATCAATCCTTTTATTCCTCTCCTTTCAATATCTTTTTTTGCTCTAGTCAAATACAAATTTTTATATACTTTTACGTACATTATTCGTACATACATATATATCTATCTATGTATTATTATTTATTCGCGTGATATGTATTTGTTATTGTACTTTTTTTTTCTTTACAACATTTTTATATACATATGATTATATTCTATACAACAAACCATATGTATGTTCTGTGCAACAGATTCTCGTGTATGTAGCTAGGTTGTATTTTTTTTTTTTTTTTTTTCAATACTCGTTGGACGAAAACTCGTTTTGGCACACTAGAAAGTCTTTTTTCTGTTTGTATTTTATATACTTTACGTTACTGCAGACGCAGCAAGTACAGGTAACATTTTTACCATAAAACTCACTCTTGATATTTGTGTACGAACGAAAAAGTGAGAACTCGCTTCGAGCCGCACTTTTGTTGTTAATCGAGTACTGGTGCACCAGCAGACAAGATTGCACGGTACAACAGTAAAAAAAAAAAAAAAAAAAAAAAAAAAAAAAAAAAAAAAAAAAAAAAAAA